GCCACACATTCATCACCCACCGCACACATGCATCCGATCACAGTTCATCCAGTCATCCATCCATCCCACTCCAGCCACATCCATCCATCCACAGTCAATCCACACCCACCCAGTTCACCATCCATCCACCCACCCATCCATCCAATCCACACATGTTCCATCCACCCACAACCATGCAGCATACGCCACCCACCCATCATCCACCACCACCATCCATCCAGTCCATCCCTTCCATCCATCCCCTCTTATCCATCCATCCATCACACATCCTTCTACTCACCACCGTGCATTCATCCTGTCCATCATTCATATATTCAGCATTAATTATGTGGTATCTACTAGTTGCTCAGCCCTGTGGATAAAACATAAATCTGGTGCATATATCACTGATGGTATACAAGATTATTTTATTATTTTTATTTTTATTTTTTGAGACGGAATCTCGCTTTGTTGCACAGGCTAGAGTGAGTGCCGTGGCATCAACCTAGCTCACAGCAACCTCACCAACTCCTGGGCTCAAGTGATCCTCCTGCCTCAGCTCTGGAGTAGCTGGGACTACAGGCATGCGCCGCCATGCCCGGCTAATTTTTTCTATATCATATTATTTGGCCAATTTAATTTGTTTCATATTTATAATAGAGACGGGTCTCGCTCTTGCTCAGGCTGGTTTCAACTCCTGACCTCAGCAATCCGCCCACCTCGGCTCCCAGAGTGCTAGGATTACAGGCATGAGCCACCGTGCCCGCTACAAGATTATTTTAAGATCCGCTCATGTCCAAACTTTTTTTTTTTTTTTTTTTGAGACAGAGTCGTCAGCTCTATTGCCTGGGTTAGGAGTGCGTGTGGACGTCAGCCTAGCTCACAGGCAAAGCCTCCAACTCCTGGGCTCAAGCGATTCCTCCTGCCTCATCCTCCAAGTAGCTGGGGACTAGCAGGCAATGACACTGCATACCCAGATAATTTTTTTCTAGGGTATATATTTTTAGTTGGCCAATTTCTTTTCTATGTTTTTAGTATTGACACGGGGTCTCGTTTCTTGTCAGGGCTGTTTCAAACCTCCTGAGCTCAAGCAATCCTCCCGCTGTCGCCTCCCAGAGTGCTAGGATTACAGGTGTGAGCCACCGTGCCCGGCCTTCAAACATTTTTTTTTTTTTTTTGAGACAGAATCTCACTTGTTGCTCAGGCTAGAGTGAGTGCCGTGGCATCAGCCTGGCTCACAGCAACCTCAACTCTGGGGCTAGCGATCCTCCTCGCCTCAGCCTCCGAGTAGCTGGGACTACAGGCATGTACATTTTTTGTATATATATTTTCAGTTGGTCAATTAAATTATTTCTATTTTTGTGTAGAGACCGGGTCTCGCTCAGGCTGGTTTCGAACTCCTGACCTTGAGCAATCCGCCGCCTCGGCCTCCCAGAGTCCTAGGATTACAGGCGTGAGCCACCGCGCCCGGCCACACATTTTTGTAACAAATCTTTTAATGACTATCCAAAAATTCAGGTCCATAGAACGCTGTGAATCTTCACAGGATATCATTTAGGACAAGACTTAAGTTGAGAAGGCGATTCAGTCCATGAAAACTGAAGTTGAAGTAAAAAATCTTAAGTCCAGGCCGGGCGGACGGCTGGTCACGTGCTTTCCTAGCACTCTGGGGAAGGCGGAGGTGGGCGGAGTTGCTCAAGTCAGGATTCAGAAACCAGCCTGAGCGAGACCGCCGTCGTCTACCATAAAAATAGAAAGAAATTAATTGGCGCAACTGAATTGTACGTGCATAATATAAAAATGCAGCGGGGGGCGATGGTGGCTCGGGTGCCTGTAGGTCCAGCTACTCGGGAGGCTGAGCATGGAGGATTGCTTGAGCCCTGGTATGTTTGAGGTTCTGCTGTCGAGGTAGGGCTGACGCCCCATGCAACTCCACTCTGGCGCTAGGCAAGAAACGAGACTCTGTCTCAAAAAAAAAAAAAAATCTTAAGTCCAAAAAAGACCAGGTACAGTCAGTACCCAGGCAGTGCCAAGATTGGGAAAGGGGGGTGCACAGCTCTGAAGTTCTGGGGAGATCCCCTATCAGGAAGCACCCGTTCTGTGAGGAGAGACCAACACGACAAAACAGCAATTACCATACGATGGTCCCCGGGACAGGGGCGAGCACGAAGCGCTCTGCCGGGAGGGCCATCCTGGGCACTGCAGGTGCTGAGCAGTGTCCCTGGCCTCCACCCTCTCCGTGCCAGGAGCCCCCCCTCCTTGTGACAGCCACACATGTCTCCAGATGCCACCTGCTGTCTTCTGGGAGGCAGAACGGCCCCACGCTGAGAACCCTGGGCTGAGTCACCAGGTTTGGAGAAAGTGCGAATGTGAGCCGCGTGGACCCGAGGTGCGGCCGTTGCCAGGGAGGCTCCGGCGTGGTGGCCTTAGCTGTCTTTTCCTTCCAGGGCACGTTCAAGTACTCACACCACCCCCTCGACCGGAGTCTAGGGCTGGCCTTCAACTACAACGAGACACTAAACGTGGCCATCGTCCCAGGCCACAGAGGCCTTCTGATCCTCTGGTCCGAGAACAGCCTGCTGTTTTCCCACAACTCAGGTGAGCCGAGAGGCCCAGGGCGGGGCGGCCTCCTCCAGGTGGGGAGGGGACAGCCGGGGCACCCTTGACTGCACCTTCAGTCTTTCTGTCCTGTGACGGGAGTGGGCCCCTCACCTCGCTGGCCTCACCGCGTCTTCCCCACGTCCCGGGCTGCAGGACGTTTAGGGTCGCAGAGACAGACGGGTCCTGAGACCCTCCAGACTCCAGGGCAGACGGGCTAGATCTTTGGTCCACGGACCTGAGATCCGCTGAGCGTCTAGGACAGAGGCTCTCAGCGCCCCAAATGAGTAAACCTCCCCTGGGAAGAAAAATCAGGAAATGGCCCTTCAGCTGGCTTTGCCAGGCATCTGCCACCGTGGAACTCTCACCTCCACGGAGGTGTAAAGAGAGGAAGAAAAACGCAGCCCTCTGGGCCGGGCGCGGTGGCTCATGCCTGGAATCCCAGCACTCTGGGAGTCTGAGGCCGGAGGATCACTTAAGGTCGGGAGTTCGACACCAGCCCGAGCAAGTGTGAGACGCCGGCTCTACTAAAAATAGGAAAATTACCCAGGCATGGGGGTGCATGGCTGTAGTCCCAGCTACTCGGGAGGCTGAGGTAGGAGGATCGCTTGAGCCCAGGAGTTGGAGGTTGCAGTAAGCTACGATGATGCCACTGCCTTCTACTCACAGCAACAGAGCAAGACTCCGTCTCAAAATATAAAATAAAATTTTACAAAGCAGCTCTCTACACAGGAGCACTGTGTCAGGGAACCCTGGGCACAGGTATGGCCACAACAGCACCTGCCATCCCAGCCACCCATCCCCCAGTGCTAGGCACCCTGAGCCAGCCGGGCCGCCCAGCCATTTCCTAAGCAACAGAACTGTCCGGGAACGTGGCTGTTGCCCCTTAGTGGAAGAAAAGGGCTCTAGGCTGGCCCACCCATTTTGGGGGGCCCATTATGAAAAGAAAGCTTTGTTTTATTTCTTATATTTGTTACCCATATTAAAAGGCATCGTGGCTGGGTACAGTGGCTCATGCCTGTAGTCCCAGCACTCTGGGAGGCCAAGGCAGGAGGATCGCTTGAGCCCAGGAGTTGGAGGCTGCAGTGAGCTGTGATGACACCACTGCACTCCAGCCTAGGTGGCAGAGCAAGATCTTGTCTCAATGAATGAATGAATGAATGAATGAATGAATGCAGGCATTCATTCCTGGCCAACCCTTACAGTTGACAATAAAAGTATCTCTCTCATACACTCAATGGCCATCCCTCAGAGCTGTCTTCCCAAGGAGAGTAACAGGACTCGCATTTTCTTAAACCTGAGCATATTCCCATCGCGTTTTATGAAATTGCATCTCAGCCATGTATTTTCCTTTTTTTTTTTTTACTCCTTTGAAGAGGGAACTGCTCAAAAGTTGCAAGAACTGGCCGGGCACGGTGGCTCACGCCTGTAATCCCAGCACTCTGGGAGGCCGAGGCGGGTGGATCGCTCAAGGTCAGGAGTTGGAAACCAGCCTGAGCAAGAGGGAGACCTCTTCTCTACTATATATACATAGAAAGAAATGAATTGGCCAACTAAAAATATACAGGAAAAAGTTAGCCGGGCATGGTGGCGCATGCCTGTAGACCCAGCTACTCGGGAGGCTGAGGCAGGAGGATCGCTGGAGCCCTGGAGTTTGAGGTTGCTGTGAACGAGGCTGACACCACAGCACTCTAGCCCGGGCAACAGAGTGAGACTCTGACTCAGGAAAAAAAAAAAAAAAAAGGTGCAAGAACAAGGAACCGGTGCGGCGGGTGGGCGGGTCTCGGCGAGATGCACGTGGCCGCCACGCGTCCCCTGTCTTCTCCTAGGCCAGCGTGGACTCCATCCCGGTGAAGCTAGGAGACAGATCCTGTACCGCTCCCTCTCGCAGGCCAACGCCACCATCACACTCGCTTCAGTGCGTGCACAGCCCGACTCCGGTAGCTTTCAGAAATATCCATGCCTTGCTAACGAGCCGCCGCCTGCCAGACCCAACCCAGCCGAAACGCAAAAACAGAACCTGATTGTTACAGGTTTAAGAAGGACCCGGGACATAAAGCTTGTGCCTTCTAATGACGACATGGGCCACCCGCCGGGGCCAGTTTGCCTGGGCGGGCCGTAGAAAGTGCCAGACCAGGCGTGGCTTAGAACAGGATTTCTTTTTCCAACTGAACTGGTTCTTTTTTTCCCCCTCCTCCCTCCCTCTTAGCAGTCATGAACTAGTTCGCTTGCTTGAGGACGTGGCGCTGATCCAATATAACCGATGTCCGTATAAAAAGGGAGATTTATCATGAACAACCCATGTTCATCGTCTCTCCTCGCTTACTGGAAGTTTCCAAATTGCTCTTTCGGTCGGCAGTCTCTTCCTCTGCCAAGCCCAGGTCAACCAGATCAGTCACTTTCTCCCTTTGTGTTTTGTGTCACCTTTATTGAGATGTCAGAGTTCTCTCTACATTCCGGATACAAGTCGCGTATCAGATACTTGACTTGCAAATATTTTCTCCCATTCTGTAGGTTTTCTTTCTCTCCCTGCTGTTTTTTTTTTTTTTAAACCAGTGAGTACACACCACTTCCCATCCTAGAATCTTTAATGGGTCCTTATTTTCTAAAGAATACAGTCCACACTGCAGAGGATGCCACTGAGGTCTCATCCTGCAGGTCACCACTGTCATTGGGATCCCTTCTCTCCACCTAACCCAGTGGTCCTCAACCTGGGGACCTTGGCAATGTCTGGAGACGTTTTTGGTTGTCACACCTGCACGACTGGGGGCACTACGGGTATCAGACGGGGAGGGACAAGGGGCGCCGCTCAACGTGTCACAGCGTGAGGGACGGTCCCCGCCACAAAGAACCGCCCAGCCCCCAGTGCCCACAGTCTGCAAACACACCTCCACTTTTCCGCACCAGGTAGAAGGTCCAGCTTAAGCTTCATTTTTCTGAAAACTTCCTCATCTGTCTTTTTTAAAAGAATAAAAATATACATTGGCTATTGCCACTCCCTTTCCTAAAATGTTGGTTTTGGTTTGTTTCCGTACTAAGTCAGGTTGTATACTAGCCCTTTACACAGGGACTCCAAGTATACAAGTCACGGCCTTGGGCCGGCGGTTTCCTACTTATTTAACATAACATGACTTGGTATAAAAAGTTTAAGAATAATTTTTGTTTTTATTTGTCCATGGAAACGACCATCAGTTCGAGCTCTGTTTTGTCTTGTTTTGTTTTTCCTAGATGAATATGAACTGGCGGTTTTAACCAAGGAGGATCATTTGTACTACGGCAGTATGGGACTCCTGTCAGGCTCTCTAATCAAAGTAGGTAAAAATCAAAGTAGGGTGATTTACCAAGTTGGTAAGGAATAATGATCTCATTCTTGAACTTCTTTTTTTTTTTTTTTTTTTTTGAGACAGAGTCTCCCTCTGTCGCCCAGGCTAGAGTGAGTGCCGTGGCGTCAGCCTAGCTCACAGCAACCTCAAACTCCTGGCTCAAGCAATCCTGCTGCCTCAGCCTCCCGAGTAGCTGGGACTACAGGCATGCGCCACCATGCCCGGCTAATTTTTTGTATATATATTTTTAGTTGGTCAATTAATTTCTTTCTATTCTTTGGTAGAGACGGGGTCTCGCTCAGGCTGGTTTCGAACTCCTGACCTTGAGCAATCCGCCGCCTCGGCCTCCCAAAGTGCTAGGATGCAGGCGTGAGCTACCGCGCCTGGCCTCATTCTTGAACTTCTGATGCTTTTTTTTTTTTCCCCTGAAGGCTGGAAATCACTGTAGCTTGTAAAATAACAAAAACAACGTAGCTAAAACTTAGAGCACTTACAATACGGTGGGTCTAAGTGCTTTCTGTGTGTAACAGCATTTAACTTTGACCATCGTTATATTAATAGAGTCCCCATTTGACAGATGGGAGAACTGAGGCTCAGAGACCTAAGCAAGTCATTTGTTTGGGGTCATAAAGATACCAAGGGCTG